GGCTACTGCTACCATCCGGAATTTCAGGCATTACTTCAGAGAAGTTGGTGTTCCCCTCCCAGTTCACCAGCCACGAGTTCCGGGACTTCATGGACCGTTGGGGAGTCCGTCATGTCGTGACCTCGCCCCACTACCCCCAGGCGAATGGACACGCTGAAGCCGCAGTCAAGACTGTTAAACACCTGATCCTTATGGTGTCACCCTCAGGAAATATCGACTGCGAGTATTTCGATCGAGGTTTGTTAGAGTTACGCAACACCCCGAACTTCACCGAACGCTCCCCAGCCCAGGTTTTATATGGACATCATCTCAGGTCTTGTGTTCCTGCCCACCCGAAGTCTTTTTCTCAAGAATGGCAGGCCAAGACTGAAGAATGTGACCGCCGTGTAGCAGAACGAGCCGCAGACGTCGCTGCTTGGTACGACTGTCACGCCCGCCCCCTTCCCAGGTTGAGTATCGGCCAGCAGGTCAGGATTCAAGATCCGGTATCTCACCGCTGGGACAAGGTTGGAGTTGTCATGGGTATTGACCGGTCCAGGGACTACCAAGTGCGTCTTCCTAGTGGGAGAGTATGGTGGAGGAACCGTCGTTTCCTCCGACCTGTGGAGCTGCCTAGTGTTGACCCTTCCCCAGTTGAGTCCCCTAATGTTGATGTCTTTACAGTAAATCCATCCCCACCTTGTGTTTCTGCCCCAGTACTCCGCAGGTCCGAGCGACTCAGAAACAAAAGGTCCGCTCAAGATGAAACTATGAGCGTATAGGGGGGAGGGAGGTGTATAATATGGACAGGAAGTAGTACCTTAAGCTGTGTATTCATATATTACTCTATTAATTATGTATAGTAAAGTATTACAGAACATGTATTAATCTTATGTAATATTTCCATTTATTATGCACCATGTTATGTATATGAATTATCATATTTACATTTTATGTATTCAGCTTGTGAATGCTGGCATCTGCACATGCCAGTGCGCAGTGATACATGGAGTGGAGACCACCAGTCCTTATGGTGTGGAAGTGCTCTGTCTTATTAGTTCCCCTGTACATCTCCTGTACGAGAATAAGAACCTATTTTTAAGATAACAAGTGTTTGTGTATACCCTCAGCAGTGTAGAACATTTTGGGGGTACCAAAGACAAACATAGAGTGACAGCGGCTTGTTTGTGGTGATAGTGGTGATGGTAGAGACTGGTTGATAGTAGTGGTAATGATGGTGGTGGTAATAATGATGGTGGTGGTAGTGGTGGTAGTGATGATGGTGGTAGTAGTAATGGTAGTGATGGTGGTGCTACATGTAGTGATGATGTATGGTGTTATATGTAGTGATGATGGATGGTGTTATATGTAGTGATGATGGATGATATTATATGTAGTGATGATGGGTGGTGTTATATGTAGTAATGATTAGACAATAAAATAATAACAGTTTAAAGCTAAAAAAAATATACTTTGCTATACCGTTGTAGTGAAAAACATGGTGGAACTTACATACACCATTAATGAACTATTGATGGAAGAAGAAGTTTTGGGGACTGAACAGTGAGACAATGTGGAGCCTCCCAGAGGGTGGCGTCCTACTGTGGCTTAGCTAGTATATATATATATATATATATATATATATATATATATATATATATATATATATATATATATATATATATATATATATATATATATATATATATATATATATATATATATATATATATATATATATATATATATATATATATATATATATATATATATATATACATATATATATATATATATATATATATATATATATATATATATATATATATATATATATATATATATATATATATATATATATATATATATATATATATATATATATATATATATATATAGAGAGAGAGAGAGAGAGAGAGAGAGAGAGAGAGAGAGAGAGAGAGAGAGATTTTGTAAGAGGGATCAGCTCACCCGGGCACAGATCATCGACCCACATCGGGGCCAGGGGTGGGGGGGAAATAAGAGTAAAAATATATTAAAGATAGAAAAGAAAAAGTCTATATTAATCTACACCACGAAGATGCCGGAAAACCAGCTTTTTGAACTGAGACAGATTATAATTCTTCCACGACTGAATTCGAAATATAGTCCTTTGTTCTTGTAACGCATTGCTGCGAACATACTTCTATTACTACACTAAGGATGGAAATTAATAGCTATAACGAGGTTAATCAAAGAGTTATTTTCTTATTAGTAAACTTCCATACATTATATGCACGTCAACAGTTGGTTCACTATATACACATAAGCAGTTGGTTCATCATACGCATGTAAACATTTCGTACATTATATGCAGGTAAACATTTCGTTCAATGCCAACCATTAATAATGTTATGCCGAGGCATAATTTGGTATTATAGTGCCTGTAAACTGGGTGTTTTGGTTAATTTCTGTCCAAATAGCAGTTATTTACTTTTATTTTTTTTTACTTTTATCCTCTTCACAACTGATCGGCTCATTAGCCGCTTGGGCGATCGGTCACGTCTCTGTTACGCACTGTTGGCAAATACTGGGATGCACTGGCTCCTGAATGTACCTGAATCTGCTCTAGTGATTATCCAGTTTGATTTTGAAAGAACCCACACTTGGTGCCATCACAACACTCTCTGGCAGATTGTTCCAATAGTTCACAACTCTCACTCCGAAAAAATTACCCCTCACGATTTTGTGGGCTTGCGACTTCTTCAAACTTGACCTGTGGCCCCTTGTGGGGCGAGCGCCCGCCAGCTCCAGGTAAGGGCACTCAACTGAGTAGTGCCCTTTAAGATGCTTGTACACCTCAATTTGATCTCCCCTTGCTCGTCTGTAGTATAAGCTAGGCAATTTCAGGTGCTCTAATCTCTCAGGGTAGCTGAGGTGCCGCAGTGCAGGCCCCAGTCTGGTGGCCCTCCTTTGGACATTTTAAATCAACTGACAGTCCTTAGCATATCTCGGGGACCAGATGGGGTGACAGTACTCCAGCCGGGGAAGTACTTCACTCTTGAAGATCGTTACGAGGGACGGTCCTGATCGACCTTCTTATAAGACCTAATAATTTAGTTGCCTGATTTACCTTCTCGCAACGGTCCGAGAACTTCAGCTCATTGTTAACGTGGGCAAGTTTAGGAAGATTTTCGTGTATATATTGATGTATTACTTATGTAATCATTTTCTAGAATGTATTGCATCATTATTGCAAGTCTCGGTCACAGTACAACGTACTAAAACTTCCCAGACCTGTCTGGGTTGTTCTAGGATTGTCTGACGAGACATATATAAGCGGCAGCAAGCGGCCTTGAGTCAGTCAACTGTTTCTGCTAAGAGTGTAAAGTACAACAAACCTAGTAAGACAAATGAAGTTAATTGTTGTGCGAGTGTTGTGGAATTGTTGTGATCAATACCATCTTGGCAATCACCCCTGGCCTCCTGTGACCTCAAGCGTAACCTAATTTTAACCTTTAGCAAAATTTTAATCTAATTTTAACTTAACTTCGCCTAACTTGACCGACTTTTAATCTCATCCACTGCGAAATTTATCTCACAAAGATGCACCGAGGATACAAATATCTGTGAATGATGGAGCCCTGGCCTCTGGCACAAACGGTGCAGCCCCTTAGCCAGGAATGCGCTATAAGCCCGCACACGTGAGTGTGCGGGCTTATAGCTCCACTTAACTCCTAGTATTGCTCCAAGTAACTCCTGGTAAAAGCTAGTGTGTGTGTACACTCGATGGGGCTGGACGATACTGTCAGCCAGAGGCGTCCCGAGCCCCTATCTATGGTCAAGACAACGAAATGTTTGTTGTGCGTCCACAAACATTTGGCGAGGTCACAGGTCGCGCGGCCAGATGGGAGTCAGAGGTCGCGGAGTACGAGGACGGCGATAACACTCCCCCCGTTGGCCACATGCCCAAAACTCAGAACATTAAACGGCGCCCTCGAGGAGACAGATGTTGGTAACAGATCGGAGAAACTCGCGACCAGCAGTGCGCACGCAATCCTGACGGACGAGACCATCTGCACTACCAATCGCTTCGACAACCTGACCAAGGGCTACTTGCCGCAAGGAAGGGTTTCTCAGATAGTGGAGTCAAGGCCTCCAAGTCCTTGGCATCAGTTGACACTGCAGTTATTGGGCGGCTGTTAACGATCACTTCTGCCACTCAGAATAATGTCTGTAGTCGCTCATCATTAACCACTTGAGACCCGACGATTGTCCAAAGCACCTTACGCACTGTTCGGATTTGTCTTTCCCATATGCCTCCCATATGAGATGCTGCAGGGGGATTGGACACCCGCTCCACCTCCTTCAGAAGATGTTGCTGTTTTTGTTTGTCTGCCACCCAGTTGTGAGCGGCTGCCCTGATTTCTTTGCAGGCTCCAACCATGTTTGTGCCATTATCTGAGCAGATGCGTTCAGGAGTACCTCTGCGCGCCATGAAGCGGGTGATCGCATTAATGAGAGCGTCGGTATCAAGAGAGTTGAGCACTTCCAGATGGACTGCTCGGGTTGTCAAGCATGTGAACAGACACCCAAAGCGCTTGGCTGCCCTATGCCGTTGTTTGGTCTGGAACGGTCCAAAACAATCCAATCCTGTGAAGGCAAAGGCAGGCTTTCCTGGGCAGGTCGGATCTGCTGGCAGCATGGCTTCCCTTTAATGCATGGACACCCAGTTGCTGCGACGGCAGAGAGTGCATGCATTGGAAATCTTATCCAGCAGACCATAACACTTAGGTGTCCAGAAATTTTTACGCAACAATGAAAGCGTGTGTTTCTCGTACAATTAGATTAGTCACCGGGTGATCATGTGGGAGCAGTATTGGCCCATCATGTGTTGCCGCCCATTCACGGTGCAACCTTCCCCCCAACTCTCATCAGGCCAACTTCAGACATGTATGGTTTTAGACGATAAAGTTCACTCTGGCGTGTCAATCTTTTCTTTGCAATGAGCCTCATTTCTTGTTGGTACCGCTCTCTCTGTATCACTCTAAAATTGCGGTCTTGGCTTGACGTAACTCTAACACACTTAACACGGTGATGTTTGCTGTCGGTGTTTTATCTTTGAGGACGTTGATAACCCTCCGGATCCAAGCTACTCCTCTTTGAAACTGGAGCCAGGAAGAGTACTTTTCCCACAAACACTGCAAGGGCTCTTTGGTTACTCCTCGTGTTGCATCATCTACCGGGTTTTGCTTTGAGCTGACATGTCTCCATTGCCTCATGTCTGTGACTTCTCTTATAGCCGACTCTCTGTTTGCAACAAAGTGTGGAAGCGTTTCCCTGCGTTACCAATACACTTCAACACTATCATACTATCCGTCCGAAACACAGAGTCCGCCAGTGGTACACTGAGTTCATGTCGCACTGTTCAATTTCAATTTCAATTGTTTATTCCTTGATAGAGGAAGCGGGATCCTAGTACTGTCACTAGGTACCCCTGTACAATGACACCAGAATCATCTGGCAAGTGTGAAAAGTATATACAGTATAAATATTATAAAGGGGCTTACTAAAGCCTAAGGAAGGAAGGATATTCCTTTAACACATAATCAATATTATTTACAAAATATCTGGCCAGTATTGGGAGGATCATCGTGTCTCCGTCAAGGGGTCGTGGAGTGGTGGTCCAGCAGGCGTCACGGAAGCGTTGTGTGTGGGAACATCTTAGGAGGTAGTGGATAAGGGTGCTGCTGTCGGGTCTTCTGCATAACGCACAAGAGCGTTGCTCAGGGGATGCGGGGATACCAAACTCCCAAGCAAAGTCATACCCAATGATGATACGGGCAGCAATCACGTCCCCCTTCCGCGACCCTTTCCCATAGACGTACGAGAGGTCAGGAAGTTTACGGAGGACATCGTACCAGGTGGGCGGGGAGTCCAGGGGGATGGCTGCTTCCCGAGCTTCTCTCTGTTTGCGGCGGATTTGGGTCCTAATCTGTAAGAGTGTTCGAGGAACAACGTAGTCAGGTGTGGCCTTGTTGCAGCCAGTCTTGGCAAGGTCATCTGCTGCCTCATTCCCCAAGATACCGACATGACTAGGTATCCATAGGAATGTCACAGGACGGCCTGCATCCTGAAGTGTGGATGTTAACCCTCGTATTCGGAGGATGAGGTCCTTATTTTCCCCTGATCCAAATGCGATCCCGTCGAGAGCAGACCTGGAATCGCAGCAGACAAGCAAGGGGCAGAAACCATCTGCTTCTTCCTCAGCGAGAAGGGCAGCAAGGAGGGCTATTAGTTCAGCCTGAGTGGAGGATGCCCCATCAGAAACTCTGAGAGACAGTTTGATAGGCTCAGGGGCATCAGGGCGGGAGATGTAGACAACAGCCCCGGCCCTACCTGTAGCGGGGTCAACAGAACAATCAGTGTAGAGGACGACCCTACCTGGGGAACAGTGAGCGATCCTGGAAAGGTGGTATTTGCAGAGAATAACAGGGTTCACCTGGGATTTCGGGAGCGGTCCACCGAGGGCAATCACTTCAGGTTGAAAATCCAGCCAGGGAGAAGGAGACGAACCAACAGCAGGGGTGACAGCAATATCAGGCAGGAGGTCGTGTTCCTGAAGGGCTCGGATGAGTGACCCTCGCCACTGTCTTCTAGATGGAGGTCGGTCTCGGACAGCAGTAGTCAAGTTGGTTTGGACATAGTTGCCCCGAGGATCCCGTAGAATGGAAACGGCAGTTTTTAGGTAAAACTCCTGGACACGATCCTGTAAGGGGGAAAGACCAAGTTCGTTATATAGAGAAGTAGAGCGTGTCCACTGAGGAGCCCCAAGGATGATACGAGCAGCTTTCCTCTGGATAACTTCGAGACGGTTGACAGCAGTCCGACTAATGTTGACGAGGGCAGGGCGGCGTAGTCGACACAGGAACGGACAAAGGACTTGTACATGGTGAGAAGCACAGGGATGGTGGCACCAAGGGAACCCCTGCACATGGTAGAGAGGGGAGCGATACGCCGAAAGCATATGTCTCGAAGATAGCGGACTTCAGGGCTCTGACAACGTGTGCGAGTTACATACACACCCAGGTATTTTGTCTCATTAACCCAGCCCAAGGGCGTTCCTGATAAGAAAAGGGGTGGAGGTACAACACGACCGTGCCACATGGCTTTTGTTTTCGCAGTTGAAAGAAGGAAACCAAGTGAATCACACTCTCTGGAGACCAGATCAAGGGCTTCCTGCATGCTGAGGTAGTCAGGGGCTTGGAGGAGGACATCGTCGGCATATCCTGAGTGGACAACTTCTGTCGGCCACGGGAGTGATGCAATGGAGTGCATGAGAGTGTTAAACAAGGTGGGACTCAGGACTCCACCTTGAGGGGTGCCGAGGTTCATTTCTTGAACAGGAGACATAGAGCCTTCAACTCGAACCCGGGCCTGACGTCCAGTGAGGTAAGAGGCGATCCATTGTAGAAGTCTCCCTTTAACCCCTAACCGTGCAAGTTCAGCTAAAATGAGGGCAGGCTGAGCCGTATCAAAGGCTCCCTTGATATCAAGGAAGACGGAGACTCGGGCAGTCTGATTGCAATAAAAGGAAGCAATGGAGTGTGCTGTGCTGCGATGTTGTATGAAACCATTGAGGGAGTTGTGAAAACCGCCTATGGTGTGAAGAAGGCGACGATGGAGTATCCTCTCCATCATCTTGCTAACACAGGAGGTAAGACTAATGGGTCGATATTTCCCAGGATCTCCCGGCTTAGGGATGGGGGTAATAGTGGCATTTTTCCAGTTGGACGGGAGAACCCCATGTTCATAAGACATATTGTAGAGAGCAAGCAAGGGGCCGTTAGGAATATTAGTACAGGCGTTGAGGACGGAGTAGGTTATCTGATCATCCCCAGGAGAGGTGTCTTTTCTAGAGCGACGAGCACTGTCAAGCTCGAACTGTGTGATGGGATGATCAGTGGGGGCAGGGGAGGTAAGAGCAGCACGAACAACAGGCTCAGACGCATCGATGCGGGCCTGCACTGCCTCCTGCATTGGATCTGGAAGTGCCTCAGGGGAGGAAGCTCGTGCCCAGTCCTCCATTAAAGAGCAGGCAAGGGAGGCGGGGTCAGGGTGGGGAGGAGGCCTCCGTCGAGTACCCCGTATAGCATTAATCCGATTCCATACATAAGAGGGTGACGACTGGAACGATAGAGACCCCGTGAAGGATAGCCAGTCCGCCTCACGTATCGGACGGCGCTCCTGAGTTGCAAAGGAGCACCAATTTTTGAAGTCTTCCCAATCCTCTGGAGACCGAGACCTCCGTATGGCAGAGTAGAGATCACGGGTTACCTGCCGGAGATGTCTCATGGCAGGGATACGATACCAGTAGTTGGTGGCACTTCTGGGGTGACGGGGAGGGCGTGGAGGGGTAGCGCGATTGACAGAGTCATACACGGCATCAACAAAATCAGCGCTGTAAGAGTCAAGGGACTGGGGGACAACATAGGAATCCGCCCAGGTAGAAAGGTATTGGGTAAAGGAAGGAACAGCATCTTGTGTGAGACGAAGGCGAGGGGATCGATAAGGAGTTGATATCGGGGCAGAGAAGGAGAGCCTGAGATGGGTAGTAATGGCAAGATGGTCACTATACAGAGCAGGCTCGGTGCAGACGGTAGGATGAAAGGAAGTATGACCGTTCAATAGTAAGCCAACATCAAGGAAACTATGGGGGAGGCGAGTAGGATCGTCAGGACAAAGAAAGCGAACATCATCATCCCCATTAAGAAACTGTGAGAGATGTGATCCGTTAAGGGTACATGGAGTGGGATGATCCGGAGTAAGAGTGGGATGGCGGGCATTAAAGTCGCCAAGAACAATAGTGGGAACCCCATCATGGAGGTCGTGAAGAACCTGGGGGTCCAGAGAATCACTCTTGAAATGAACATTGACTGCACGAAGGGTCCGGTCACCAAGAGTAAGGGAGACAGAAAGTAATTCAGACGGGGGTCCATGTGAGTCAGGTGAAGGGAGACGAACAAATGGAATGGTGTTACGCACAAGGGTGAGGAGGCCACGAGCCTGCCCACGGTACCGAGGCAGGGTGTAAACAGTATAGCCAGAGAGGCGGAGTGGAGTAACATCGTCTGTGATGGTTTCCTGAAGCAGAGCAACATCTACTTGATGGGAGAGCACAAACTGGGCGAGGTCTGTCCGGCGAGGTCTAAGTCCCTGGATGTTCCATTGTAAGAAGAGGAGGGAACGGCCTCCGGTGTGAGATGAGTCGGAGGGGCTAGACAGGGCTCCAGAGGAGGTACCAAATTCTGTTGAGAGAAATGGAGAGGGAGGAGTGGGAGAGCGAGGGATGGATCCTCCATCTCGGAAGATGGAAGGAGGCGGGTCATCAGGGCCTGCAAAGTGCGCCCCTGTTGGGTCAGGGTGTCCAGAATGAGTTGTTGTTGCTTCTGCAATGTTGCAATTGTTTTCACAAACAAGTCGAGTTGGGCTGAGAGAAGGTTGATATGCTTGGAGTGGCGATCCAGACGGAGAGTGATTGTTTCCATAGAACCAACTTGGTGTACCTGTGCAGGAGCTGGAGGTGGCAGCGAGGATTGCCGAGGGCCCGACTGGGCATGTGGTGGTGGTAGCGACGGAGAGGGACGGTGAGGGTTCAGTTGAGTAAGAGGTGGTGGTGCTGGTGAGAGACAGCGGGGGTCCGGGTGGGCAGGAGATGGTGGTGACTGTGTGGCAGGGCCGGCAACGACCTTGTTCCAAGAACGGTAAGGAGAGGGAGGGAGGGGAGAAAGGATGGGTGGTAGGGGTGATAGGGGGGGGGTGGTAGAGGAGAGGAGATCAATGGGAAATCCTTAGCGGATGGAAGAGGCGGTGGTGGATAGGATTGAGGTTTGGTTGACAGGGGCTTCGTCAGAGACGAGGGCGGTGGTACAAGGTAAGTTTTCCCCGGGCGAGTGCCAGGACTCTGTGGGCAATTGGCATTCCAGGCGTGGTGACTGCCATGGCAATTGACGCACCGTGGAATAACTGGGATTTTGTTCTGAATTTCGATTTGCATTCCACTGTTTCGTGAGGACCTGCACAGAAACCGCAGGCGACCATCCTCGTGCACTCCCAGGTGCGGTGTTTCCACGATTGGCAACGACCACAGATTTTCGGGGTTCCGATAAATCGGTCGAGAGGACAGTTGTGAATTGGTCCTACATTCACCTTCGGAGGGAGGGGGGCCCACCCACCAGCCGATGAGTTCGTTGGATGGACGTTTGGAGACCGGGTTGATGCGGCGTTCCATGTCCAGTAGTTGTGGGAGAAGAGGGCGAAGATCGTCGATAGGGATCTCCCAGGGTACGTGGCGAACCATTACCTTGGTACGACGAGTTTCTGGGGTGATGATGGTGAACTTCAGCATCACCTCCCCCTGGGGAGCAGGAAAGCCCACCTGAGTGAGCAGGCGTACCGTCTCGTCCATTTGTGTGGTGACTATCACGGCTGTGGGACCTCGGCGGAGGCGAAGTGTTGAGTCCTGAAGTGGAGAGCAGTGACGGAAGAACCAGGTCGTCCGTGTGCTCAGAGGCAAGTCCCGAGGGAAGGCGAGACGACGAAGGCGCGACGGGGCAGGGAGACAAAGGGAATCCCCTATGTCCATCGTCGGCGGAGGGTCGGTCATTGAGCCACATGTAGGCTCACTTGGGGACCCCGATGACAGGAGTCCACCCTCTACAGCCCCAGAAGGGGTGCAAGGGGGAGCCGTGGCCCCTGCTGGAGACCCTGACTTCTGAGGTTTCTGCTTCTTCTTTGACGTGTCTTCAAGAAGAAAGTCGTCAGCATCACTGTCACCTACTGCCGCCGTTTCCAACGAACGGGAGCGTTTAACGGCGGGCATAGGGCACGTTGGCAACACTGCAGTCAGGTGGAGTGGTAATGACGTCACTGCTACGTCACACTATCACATTGCGCATGCGAAACTTGAAAAACTTTGCTCAGAGGGATCGGGTGGTAGGGCCAGATGTTTTATCCCAAAAAAATGACAAAGTCCAAAAGTAACAAAAAAATATATGCCACTGTGCTGATAACTGGGTCTTACTATAGTTGTTTGCACAGGCTGGGATTGGTAGACGCGCTGAATTCGTCAGAAATACGAATTTTAAGGAGCAGTCTCATACAGCCTTTGTTGACACTACGCACGCATGCGCGTTCCTCCGTCGCACTGTTGTGTCAGTATGTGCTGCCAGTACGGCAGCACAAAGTTCTAGCCGTGGTATGGTTTGTTGCTTTAAAGGTGCTAGTCGAGCTCTGCCACACACAAAGGAACAGTCAATTCTTCCTTCCTTGTCTACAGTCCTCAGGTAGGTGACAACTGCAGAAGCAGATTCTGAAGCGTCGCAGAAGTGATACAACTGAGCAGAGGCAAATTGGTCCTTTTCCAAATTCCACATCACTTCCAGGGCTCTCTCTGTGGGCAAATTATCATAGGTGAAGTCCACTTCCTTGATACCGGTGTGCCGCCTTTCCACGGGGATAGTGCTGAGTACTCCTTTTGTGATTACTTATCCATTTTGTATGCTTGAATCCCCCTCTTAGCAAGAGTCCTTGCAGCTGGTGTGCCATGGAGATTGCTTCCTCAGTATCAGTTACAGACATAAGCAAGTCGTCCACGTAAAAGCTCTCCCTAGCTCTGGTGTTCGCTACTGGGAATTCTGAACCATAATCCTGGAAAGTTCTCTGCAATGCATAAGTAGCACAAGATGGACTCCACACCCCTCCAAAGATATGCATTGTCATTCGGTAGGTAGTTGGGGGTCTCGACAGGTCTCCATTTTCTCACCAGAGGAATCTTAGGGCATCCTTGTGTTCAGGGTGCACCTTGACCTGATGAAACATGGCTTCAATGTCAGCCGTCAGCGCATTAAGCTCCTGACGAAAACTTATGAGGACTCCAAAGCATTTATTGTTGAAGTCTGGTCCTTGAAGTACCTCGCTGTTTAGTGACACATTGGCAAATGTTGCAGGACAATCAAAAACCATGCGAGTCTTCTCTGGTTTGTTTGGAATTAGTACTGGATGATGAGGCAGATGCCAAGTTCTTCCAGGATTTGCTGTCAGTTCCCCTTTTGGCACCTTCTCCGCGAAGCCCTTGGTGATCAAATTTTCAATTTCTACAACATATCTTAGTTTCAGCTCTGCATCTCTTAAGAGTCGTTTTCTCAGACCTGACAACAAGTGTTCTATTGCCAAGTAGGTTAGGTGGTTCTCGCCGGAATGGAACGGGAAACTGGGAGTGTCCATTTATCATCGCACCTGTCGATGACCAGAGCTGGACGACTCTTTTGTCCTCCCTCGACACTGGCGCATCAATTGTAGCTTTTAGAAAGGTCATCTCCACTTCCCAAAAGCGCTTTACTTGTTCCGCTAAACGTGTCTCAGCAGGAGGGAGAGTCGGTGGTGAACCCATGACAGCAAGAGTAGTAACATTTTCATGGGCCGTTGGACCATTTACAGTCCATCCGAGTTGAGTCCTCATTGCAAATGGTGCTCCGTCTCGTCCTGTCCGGCACTCTAAGGGAATCAAGGCTCTTGGACAGTCCTGCCCTATTTGTAGATCAACATCTTGAACATCGGACACAGGTGATATGATTTCTCGAAGATGTTTACAATCCATTACATCCATAGTGGACGCTACTGAGTCTCCCAGTGACGGGGGCAAGCGGTCAATTACCAGTACACCTTGGAGTAATAGTATACATTTAGACCGCACCTGCGTGCCTTTGACTTCCACGTCTATCTCCAATGAGTTTCGTTGTTCTTCATGGGTAAGAGTGTCAATAAAGAGTGACACTGGCTTTCCATACGCCTTCAATCGCTGCAGTAAACTTTTCGTACAGAAGGACCGATAACTGCCGGAGTCCGGGAGCGCATTTGTTCTTGTCGTGCGAGTTTAGTTCGGCCCCTTTACCTCCATCTCCAACAGTGGAAGAGCCACCCTGCTCTTCTTTAGTCCTGCCTTCTCCCTCTTGGTTGACTCTCCAGTAGGGAGTGACAGTTTGGCAAAAGTTTTCAAAATCAAGTGGCTTGGGTTGGATTATTTGTCTATCGGCCACGCTGGTTCCGAATATGTTTGAATCTTTAACATCAGTGCATTAGAAGGTTTGTGGATACTTTTCGGTTCGACATAAAAAAAAACAAGAATAATGGTAGACATTCTTTATTATTGGCATGTATGCTTCAATTTATCAGCAGCACACTAGCACATTTGGCACACTAACATTGGCTGTCCCCACAGTGTCCCCTCAGTCCCAGTGTCCCCATAGTCTAGCACTGGTAGTCCTCTTTCTTAGCCCTCCGCTTGTTTCTCTTCCTGGCCTCCAGCTTGTTCCAGGTGACCTGGTCCTGCTGCCAGGCAGAGCTGGCCACGTCTGCCGCCTCCGTGGTGAGCTTCACTCCTCTTTCCACTGCGGTGGTGGTGCAGGGCAGACCTGGCTCACTGTACGGTTCCTCCAGAAATTGCTCCAGTTCCTGGTCACTGTGCTGGAACAGGATGGGAGGGGAGGAGCTGGCCTTCTGCAGATCAACCAACTCTGACAGCTTGGTGGCTGCCAGATTCAGTTGAGGGTTCCTCACTTTCCTCACTGTCTTTCTCTTGTGCCTTTTTTCCTTCTTCCTCAGCTGCTTGATGATGTTTAGGGCCAACTCCCTCTCACTCTTGTCCATGGAGGCCAGCAGTGAGACCAGCACCACCTCGTGCTGGCCGAAGTAGCCGTTGAACTGGAGGTATGGAGTAAGCAGCTTCACTTCCTCCAGGGTGCAGTACGTCCTCACCCGATTGATGATGGCGAGGAGGTGGCGTGGGCCCTCCAGTAGCAGATTCCTCTGCCTGATTCTGCAGATAAGGATGATGAAGGAGGTCATCTATTCCCCGTGACTCCGCTGGGGGAGGGTGTCAGGAAATTTCTAGCCCCCTGCTCTCCGTGTTTTGCCATCTGGCGCTGGTCATGGCTCCGGCCCGTGCCCTGGCCCATTCTCTCCTCAATGTGGCTGGATCTGATTGTCTGTTACTGATACCAGTGTTCCAGCTTGAACTCCTCCCCAGACGATTTGGAGGATGGCATCCAGGAGAGAATTATGTAGGTGTTGGTGACGGCCTGACCAGAATCCACCGGAAGTGTCCCATGGGTCAGCCTTCCGTTGTTCTCTCACCACTCCAGGAGGGACCAGTGGTTGGGCCAGCGAAATATTGAATAGATGGCCAAAGCTTCTCCAGACTGTGAATCGTGCAGTGGATGTGGGAGAGGCTGATCCCATTTGTTTTCTCAAATCCGGCGATGAAACCGATTATAGCTAATTAGTTTGTTGTGCAAATTGTCATGGCGAACAACCAGGAGGCCGGTGGTGCCGAACACGCGCCCTCCGGTACGCGCCAGCAAGGGCTGGTGGCCAGGGTTCATCTCCCCTTCTCACCGGGACCAGTGAATTAAGGACCCTCACCAGGGTAGTTGATCACTGCACAGCTCCTCTTTCCATGGCGAATCTCTGGGTGGTTCTTTTCTCACTCACACCAGTCACTATCTTGTTCTCATTGATCCTCTCTCATCTACCAAGGAGGACTTCCTGACCTTGAATCCCCTGAACTTTTCTTTTTTTTCTTAGTTCTCGTGAATCTCTCCTTAATTTCTCTCCACTTTCTTCCAAAGTTAGCTTTCACTTCTTGTAATTTCATTCCTCCAGTTATGATGTTGTCTGCAGCTCTGATGGTGTTTGCGATGAGCCACTGCATCATTGGATACCTTGAACCTGTCAGCAGTTTCTCCGATCCTGTTCCCGGCTTCTTTTCTCCCCTTTTCCTTTTTCTCTGACCCTGCCTCCTTGTCGACTATAGCTGCCTTGAACTCATTGTCATTGAATAATCCTCCCATAATCAGTCATCTTTCCTGAGCACTGGTCATCCATCAGGCTGACCACTTCATACGGTGACATCCTCTCCATCTCCCTCCTTACTCTTTTGACCTCATCTTTCAGTTTTTCTCTCTTCCCTCAGCCTTTCTTTTGCCCCCTTCGCTTCCCTTTCTCCTCTCTTTCTTTCAAAATGGAAACAACTTTGTCAACGCCATCAATGCAGCCCTCCTTCCTTCCCGGTTTCCTCTGGCTGCCAGGAAGCTTTTTTCTCTCAATTGCACTTTGCTGTCGTCTGCCACATCAAACAACTTTCGTATTATTTCTCTGTTCACCTTCAGCTTCCTGTTCTTTCGTTTTCCTTTTCTGTTTTCAGTCCTTTTCCTTCATCATCATCAAGTTCCCCTCCGCATCTCCACAGGTCGTGGACTCTCATTTTCACCCCTGATTTCAGAGATAGTGGGGGACAGTGGCCTCTATAATATCCAGTACTCTTCCTCAGCCACTGTTGGTAAAATTGCTATAACTTCAAAAGTACTGTTCTTTCTCTCTAACCTCTGTTTTGGCTTTCCATAAAGCCGTGTACCTCTCCAAACTCTCGTTCAGAGCAACTCTGTTGATGGTAAGAGGCATCCTGAACCCTAACAATTTTATCGTTATTTCAAGTGAGTTGAGTGTTGTTAACTTAGAATGACCCATCTTAGTAAAAAGTGCCTGTCCCAATCTTTGCAAAACAACACAGAAAAATAACTTTCAGCACTTCAATATCACTACCCATGAACAATATTTTATTCAAAAGTACGGACTGAGATTTTGTCCTTAACTGTCCAAGCCCATTATTTGGCTGAATTCGCCGACCAGTCCTGGGACGAATATTAACAACGGCGGAATAGATTCCGTGAACAAATTCAGTATTCCCCAACCAGGAGCCTCAACAAACTCTGCAAATATTATTGGCTCACAATACATATAATGAGTTTGGGTAATGTTCTGCGAGCGAACGTCCTGAATTATTCCACGTGAATCTATCCACGCTGCTATGTAAATAGTCAAACCTGGTTTTCGAAATATATTTACGTGGATCGGCAAAACACGGCACAATTTGCAGAGCATTGAGTTGTAAAATGAATACATATTATAACCAAGGTAGTCGAATAATCCAATTCAATAACTTGATTTTTAACAGGTTGTGCCACATTGCCATCCCTTATTATTTACATAGTTTTTCAAGGCTTTTCATGCCAAACCCAAAGTATCCACACAAACCTTCTAAATGCAATGATGTAAAAACTCCAAACATATTCTGGAATTAGCGTGGCCGATAGGATAAATAATCCAACCTGCCAATTAGATTGAAAACTTTACCTCCAGACTCCCAGTATGGTTTCCCACGTCGGTCTCCATCTTCATGACCTCTTGTCACGCCGTTCTTGCCAGTCATCTTGTTGTCTAGGTTCCGACCCATTCTCTTGATGCCGTGGTTCCTCTTGATTCAGTAGTCACAGGTGTCCCTAGTCCGTTCATCACGGTCACGACACTTACTCTTATCTGTTTCTTGCTCTGGCGTCTATTTCACACCTTTCCTCTGCATGGACTTGGGAGAAGGATGTAACCATCTCGAATGTAACTCTGAACATCCATCAATGTCACACGGTGAGTATCCCATCGGACACGATTGACCTGGTGTCCCTTCTGAGACACAGGAAGCAGTACCGTAATCGTTGTACAGTTCGTTCTCAAATACTGCCATAGTACGAAACTTGTGGCATCGATTTAAGATATGATCATCTGAGCAGAGTGAACAAGCCTTGCGCTTGCGCCCGTGACAGCCAGCCCTACAGCACGCCTGCTAGCATTATTGCCGGCATATCGTCTATCTCTGGCTCCCCATGTTTCTGTGTAAGCCTCTCTAGCATTACCAGCATCAGCGCCTTCTGTATGAATCCCCATAGATGTTCTAACCCTGGTTCCTTTTCCCCTTGAGCTTCAAACCTCCACTTTGCTTCGGTATTTTCGCTCAAGTGACTGGGTAACTTCTCAACCAGCAACTCTTCCCCAACAGATTGTCAACTTGCCACAGTGCACGGGGCTCAAAGTTACATACTGTACATACAATCAACCTGTCTGCTAGGCATTGAAGTCCCGCTCTGTCATTAGTACGCACTGATGAGGTCAACATCAGGTCCTGAATCTGTTCACGAATAAAGGCATCTTCTCCACCAAATCGTATCCGCAAAGCTTTTAGCGCCCGTTGAAAGCCGTTTACAGTACTATATGAGTAAAGGTGGACTCGAATTTCTTCAGAACAAGCCTGCAGGAGGATGTGCATCTTCTCAGGGTCAGACATCTGGATCTTACCTACAGCATCATTGACGCAACGCATAAAGTTACAATACTCGCGACGGCTTTTTCATGAAGGTAGGAAGGCGGTGTCTCTGAAGTGTAAGGCTGGCAAGGCTGGCATAATAGGTGTGTGTCATATTGGATATGATTTTTTTTTTTTTTTGAGTTTTGAAAAATCGGGCCCATGGTATTAATGATGTAGTTCCATGTGTGAATCAAGGTGATATCTTCAGATTTGAAAAGTTTTCATTTTTGCTAGGTAAATTTAACTTGAAATCTTAGGAAAATTCAGTATTCCCACCCTTTAACAACACCACTAAATAGCTTATTTAAAGTAAAGTAAATGTATCAGGTTGACTTAGATAGGATGAAAATGATCCATTAGTGAAACGAATGATCTTGACCTCATTTATTAAATTTAATAGTCCTTTAGAAAAACAAATCATCAACACAAAAACCGTTTTACTACTACGACCCGGTGTTGTTGCACAATCATAAGAGAACATGTCTTTCTTGCTTTGCTTCTTACTCATCACCTCCCTGCTGACCCCTTCACCTGAGCTCGGATGTAGCCTTCCTCCTCTCCTGGTTGTATGATAGTGTGATCGCTGGCCCTGGCCACTTGCTGTACACAACGCCCTCATCACTCTGGGCGTGCGTGAGGTCAGGCAGGGACATGCATGGGGTTGTCCAGGAAAGCCTTGACTTGAACATTGGTGAGGCTTAGAAGAGGGGTTCACTGCCTGATGTTATCCAGATCTATGAGATCAGTGAGAGTCTTGGCACCCAGATTCGACTTCAGGAGCCTCTGACCCCTGAAGGAATCGTCACCAACTGATTCGTCATGCCCAGATCCTCTCACAAGTCTCATATCCAAGATCTTTTGATCGCCACCTTCTCTCCTCTCATCCTTACTGCAGAGCATCACTGCTGCAGAACTGCCTTGGGATGAGCATACCAGGAAGATCTCCTCACAGGTCTGCTCCCACAATCTGAACACCTTCCTTATTGACTTTCAGGAGCTCAAGCTGGAAGAGAACATGCCTGACCTTCGGAGAACGATGACTTGACCTTGGTGCTTGGAAACCAATTTGGCAAGTAGACTCACGATGAATTGACAATAAGTCCCAGGTTGTGAAGCTGGTTCCCTTCAGTTTATGATGAGCACCCAAATTCTGCAGAACCTGAGAGCCAAGTAGAGCCACCCAGAATGTGAGACTGGACCTATCTGCAGGTAAGCAAGTCTATCAGGCATGACCCCAATTTTGATGGCACTGCAAATCATAACCATAGTACTGGTCAGTACTCAGGTCACAATGACAGTATGTGCAAGCTCAACGAGTGTGAGGGCCAACTGTGATTTTTTCAAAGCCCGGATTTATTTCTAACTCAGTGGCAGAGTCCAGCATCTTGCCAAGAGGACCAGACCATCTGTTATGTTTGAAAGAGTCTTGCCATCCAGCTCCTGGATCAGATGTCTGAGTGGCAACCTGTTGGTGTGGAGGCCACAAACAATCCAGACCAGCTTCCTCCCACCTTCCGCTCTCTATCCACTGTATGACCCCCCTGCCACCCCTGTGTTCGTAAGTGTTGGTGCTGTCCCCTCCAATGGCCTGCAGTCTGGCTCCATGTTCTCTCTGAGCCACAGTTCACAATGTTATCTGCCACTATCTCAGCTGGTTTCCTGGATGTCATCTTTCTCTGGAGTGAATGCAACAAATACTTCCTCCTGGTTCATCAGTAGCAGGAGTAGTGTTCCTCCTTCACCATGGCAGAGAACAACTTGTCAGAATCTCCAACTTTCATGAACACTTTAGTGTCATCCCTTCTCCCATCAAAGAACAAACAATTGATTCCATTTTCTCTTATCCCCTTATCAAACTCCTCTTCTAGGTTACTGACAAGTTTCTCCTGAGCTCTCCTTACTTTGTTATGATCTATCACCAGGTGAACATCATCAGGTGTTATCAAACCACCGTCAATCCAGGCAGCTGTTGCTATCTCTGCAGTTTCTCTGAGACCAGTGTGGTGTCGCATGCTGGCCAGAGCTATGCTCGGGATATCTTTCCTATTTCGAATTTATGCCTGGAAGGTTTGGGATCATTATTTTCTGGGTTAGGGACAAAGTCACCATTCTCCTGGTCAGCACTCGGATCAGCCATGGGGAAGTCATTAAACTCTGAATCAGCTTGACTCCAATCATCGGCCTTTTTTACCTCACCCTGGGCCTTCTCAAGTCTCTTTTCCTCGGCAACTCTTCTCCTCTTCTGTCTCTCTGTGGCAGCCTCCTGTCTCTTGGACTCCGGAATATCTTGGCTAGAAATCATGAGAGCCCCTATACTGCCATTTCTCTCTCTGTGCTTTGACAAATGCCAGTTCGATCACAGGAATCTTCAGTTCACGCTTGCAAATACAGGAGATGTGGGCCTCGGATTTACAGTCACGATCGCATCCAAACTCAGGACAGAGAACAATTGGGCACTTGCAAGTAATTATGTCAAATAACTGGTCCAGTTGCTTGGCAAAGCTGTCCTTAACTGCAAGTTTTCCTCTCCCAAGAGAGATATCTCTTGCCTTTTCCCCAACTGGCTAGCAGTCTCTCACTAATCTTCTTCTGACTTGTTATGACTGGAGGCTTGAGCGTTAGCCAGAGTGTACTGTGCCAAGACAGCTTTGGTCATATCACTGGCAATGTCTTTGTTTGTGTAAGTTCTTTGGTTCTTTTCACTGATTTGCCTGATTAAAACACCGTATCTGAGATGGCTGGATTTTTGGTTCCTCGTCCTGACACAAGCAGCCATCGCAAATATTATCAACTTATAAATGCATCAGAATCTGAAACAGAAAAAAAATATTGTTAGTTGGGTTGTTAAAGAATGAAGTCAGAACGCAATGTTCACTATTTAATTGTAATGCACTAATGCAGCTGTACGTTAGATTTTCGATAAATTTCACGCTAAAATTGTAGGTTATGTATCTAAGCTACTGTGCCGAGTAGCAACCCTGTACATAAGCTACTGTGCCAAGTAGCAACCCTGTACATAAGCTACTGTGCCGAGTAGCATTTATATATATAATCACGTGGCAACACTGCACGTGTTATGTGGCAACATTGCCCAGAGGCTGCCATATGGCAAGGCGCCTCAGTCTGACTGTGTGAGCCGTGCATGGCACACGCGAGTCACCATTTGTATTTCTCTCATCCATAATAAACGGACTTCAGTGTTTCACAGTGTTTCCCTAGCCATCACTGCATTCTTCAGGGCACACTAGTAACCTTCATGGTGCAGTGAGTAGGATGCACGGCATCACTCTGAATGCCGAGAAGTTCGTCTTGGCCGCACCTGCAGTGTCTTTCTGCGGCTACCGACTCTCAAGGGATGGCATTGCTGCGGACCCGGAGAAAGTTCGCGCCATAGCGGACTTTGCGAAACCTGCCAACCTTACGGATCTCAGGTCTTTCATGGGCCTGGTGAACCAGCTGGCAGAATTTTCCCCTGACGTCTCCGCTGCTGCCGGGCCTCTCCGCCCCCTGATGAGCCCCAAGAGGACGTTCACGTGGACCCCTCACCACGACCTCGCCTTTCATAAGGTGAAGGAGGCCCTGTCAAGTCCACCTATCCTCGCTACTTTCGACCCAGCGCTCCCCACCGTCCTCCAGACAGAAGCCTCGCCCCTGTACGGGGTTGGTTACGCCCTTCTCCAGGATCACGGTGGAGGAAAGTACCGGCTCGTACAGTGTGGCTCTCGCTTCCTCACCGATGCTGAGTCTCGCTACGCTACCATCGAGCTGGAGCTGCTGGCAGTGGTATGGGCCTTATCGAAGTGCAAGTTCTACTTGATTGGCCTACAGCACTTCGACCTCATCACAGACCACAGGCCCTTGGTCCCCATTCTTAACCACTATTCGCTGGACGCCATCGAGAATCCCCGCCTCCAGCGCCTGAAGGAGAAGATTTTGGCCTTCGTCTTCACCGCGGCTTGGCGCGCAGGTAAAGAGTTGTGCATCCCGGATGCCCTCTCGCGCTCCCCAGTCAGCCGCCCTACACTTGAAGACGAGATGCTCAGCACCGAGGCCGGTTTCTCCGTAAGCAACATCGTCACCTTGCAGGCCGTACAGTC